AGGAAGGGTAGAGAGTGCTCCCAGCCCATGGCCTGGTAGTTAGGGCACTTTCCTGTTAGGTGGAAAACATGGATTCAAACTCCCTTAGTTTGACAAGGGCCTAGACTCTGTATCTCTCCTTTCGCAGACAAATGCCCTAACCACAAGGGGTGTCTATACATGTGCTCCGAAGGGGGGTTGCTTTAATTAGAGCAGCTTTAAGAGCTGCTTTAATTAAAGTGCCAGCAGTGTCACGTGTATTCAGTATCCCGTGCTTCAAAATGGTGGCGGGGTGCTTTAACTAAAGCTTGTTTGATTAAGTTTAGTTAAAGTGCCCCTACCATTTAGAAACATGGGGACACTGAATACATGTGATGTGGAGGCTGCTGGAGCACACTAATTAGCACGCTCCAGCAGACTCAATTAATCGAGTCCGACATGTGCTAATTAGCATGTGCTGGACCAGAGGTCCATCATGTGTATAGATGCCCCAGGATATCAGGCAAACAGTGGGTTGTCCTCCTGCTCTCCCTGCCCAATTTAAAAAGTTAGGCAATTAAGCCTAGGAGTTTCAGATTGTGAATTCCACCTTTACCAAAATGCCTAACGTGGCTGTAGGACAGGGGTGGGCAATTATTTCGGGCCGAGGGCCACTTACTGAGTTTTGGCAAGCCATCAAGGGCTGCATGACAGGCAGCCAGGGGCAGATAAATATTAATTTTCTAAATTTTTTAGGAGCCCTGCAGGCTGGACAGAATGGCCTGGTGGGCCGCATTCGGCCCGTGGGCTGCATTTTGCCCACCCCTGCTATAGGAAATAGTGTAAGTATCGCCTAACTCAAGGAGAGAGATGGGATTCCAAATACATACACCATCTTTTGTTTCCTTTGCAATCCTCTGCATGGCATGCTGGCTGCTATGGTGTCACCATTCAATGGGGTTTGGAGCCCTAAGACACATAACTTGTTTTTCTTAATACCACTGAGAAACAGACATGCCTAAGATTTAGATGAGACAATGCAGAACGGTGCCACAAATAGATGGTTTTTTTGGATCTGGGTCCTACGAGTCTACTGCAGCTAAGGTAGTTTCATAGTTGGTAGGGTCAGAAGGGACCTGAGCAGATCATTAAGTCCAACCCCCTGCCATGGGCAGGAAAGGATGCTGGGGTCAAATGACACTGGTTAGGTGATTAGCTAGCCTCCTTTTGAAGACCCCCAGGGTAGGAGCGAGCACCACTTCCCTTGGAAGTTGGTTCCAGATCCTAACCGCGCTGACTGTGAAGTAGTGCCTCCTAATATCTAGCCTGAATCTACTCTCCATCAACTTATGGCCGTTATTCCTTGTTACTCCCAGTAGTGCTCGGGGGAACAGGGACTCTCCCATTGCCTGCTGGTCCCCCTTGGTCAGTTTATAGATGGCCACCAGGTCCCCTCTCAACCTTCTCTTGTGGAGGCTGAACAGGTTCAGGTCCTGTAGCCTCCCCTCGTAGGGCCTGCCCTGCTGCCCCCTGATCATGCGAGTGGCCCTCCTCTGGACCCTCTCGATACCTAAATACCTGCACATTCCAGCCATCAGAAATAGCTTGACATAAGGTCTCATGCATCTAACTTCATTATTTCCATATTACTGACAGCCCAAACCACTGTTCAGCTAACTAAACCTGCAGGCATCTAAATGCTAAGTTGTTGCTGCTGGCTTGAGCAAAGCTGCTTAAGTGCTGATGCTGCCCCACAGTGAATGAGCTGCTCTGAAACCCTTCCTTTAAGCAGCATTGTCAAATTCAGTGCTTCCATGTCTCTCACAGGCACAGTCCAATGCAATCCATACAAAAGATAATCTGCTAAGGATGCATTATGACTGGCTAGCACGTGTGCGTGGATTAGAGCAGGCCCCCCAGACGTGGGAGACCCAGGTTCCCCAGTCCTTCTGAACATCTACATAAACCTCAGTCTCCCACAGCTCATATGGGTGTTCTCCCAGGCTATTCTGGAGTGTCTCACTTTCCATCTCTTCTTTTGCAGCTTTTTCACTTGGTTTAAGTAGATATGATTGGAAGAGGGACATGATTCTCATGCTCCCATATCCCAGGTGAATGCCCAAACCACTGGACCAGAGTCAGTCTTGCATATGACTTTCCTCTGGGCCAATGAATATTTAACTACTTACACAAAGTGGAATGGCTCTGATGGTAGACACTTTGACCATACAGTATCTGATGGTCTCAGGGATCTGGTTCACATTTCTGCTGTAGAACAGGCAAAGTGTAGAACTGAGCCAGTGAAAGCACTAAACTGTTTGCTATTCTGGGATATTTGTTTCTCTCTCTGTTGTTGGATATTTTTTGTGCATACATAACTTAGCTGCCTAACTCTAGGAGGCTGTTCACAGCTCAGCTAGTTTCTAGGGCTACTTCCCTAGGCAGATAATTCTGTCCCTCCTTATATGGGGAGCCTAGATACCTCAAAGCTAGAGAGTTCTAGGAGCATTTCAGCACCTTTAAGGATCTCTAAGCGGCTTAGAACAAGAATTTAAAGTGACTTTCAATAGTACTTTACAGCACCTAAGTCACCTGGGCTGTGTCTATACCACTTTCCCAGTATTCTTGAGATTGAAAAACACAGCCTTATGGCTGTACATGTTTCTATGCCAAACTTCAAATTCTGGAAATCCATGCTGAAAGTACCCTGCATTGCTGTACTCAAGCCACTGGAGACAGGGCTCTTGAGAGTGAAATGGGAGGACTTCAGTTTTGGGTTTTGTACATGCTGGGCATGTCTACATGTGACGCTTTAATGCACGTTTGCCTAAGTTAATGTGCATTAAGGGCGTGCGTCTACACATGTACGCCCTAACTGCGTGTTAAAAATGGTGACTTTAGGCTATTCATGCTTAAATTTGATACCTGGAAATGCACAAATAATTAGAGCACATTAACGCATGTGTAAACATGTCAATGTGCTTTAACGCCTGCATGTGTAGATGCCTGCCTAAACCTGCTTAATGCACATTAAGATAATGCACATTAAATTTTGGTGCTCTTAAATGAATGTATAGACATGCCTGCCGAGGGCTCAAAGGAGAGTGGGTGGGGCCATCCTCTCCACGATGCACTTAGCTGTATTGGGAAAATTGTACAGATCTCTCTTAGGCACTTTTGGAAACACCATACGTGGCATCCAAAACCTGTAGCTGAATTTTAAGTCTCTGCCAGGTAGATCTTAAAATCGCTGTTCACTTCAATTGGGAGTTTTACCTGAAAAATTTTGGCACCAAGTGGCCCATTAAAAGGGACGATATCATTTACTCATACACGTAGCTATGATCTAAATTAATTGTAATGACTAAGGAAAGTATCCCAGGAGTCTTTGTAGATAGATCAATGAAAACCCCTGCACTGTGTGCAGAGGTTGTTTAAAAAGTTAGTATGGATAAATAAGTGAATAGAAAATAATACTGAGACTATTCTAATGCCACTATGTAAACTGATGGGACACCCAATGTGGATTATGGCATTCAAATCTGGTGGCCTCATCTCAAAAATATATAGTAGAATTAGAAGGGGCTTAGGGACAACTGACAACAATTATTAGAAAAATCGAGATGCTTCTGTATGAGGAGAGGCTGAACAGATGGGAACTGTTTAGCCAGCAGATGAAAGATGGGTACCTGACAAAAGAGTACAAAATAATGAACGGGACAGAAAAAGTACCGACAAAGCAGGCTCCTTCACAGTACAAGGCCTCCCTCACAGTACAAGGAAAAGGGGATGCTCACTGAAATCAGAGGGGGCTAATTTACTGGCAAAAAATACTACCCTACCCAATGTATAACTAGCATGTGGAACTCATTGGCACAAACTGTTACAAAAACCATGAGTGGGATTCCAAAACAAGGGAATTAGACACATCTATGTGAATGACAAAAAATGCCATCCGCAAGCACAGTGGCTAAGATAAAAGTCTGTAAGGGATATTCATGTTGAGAACAACAGCCAGGTAACTAACTGCCTGAAAGCAGGCAGCCACTTTCCCCCATGGGCAGGTTATTGCAAAACTGTCCCTTATGGGAGTTTCATGCTTTCCTTTGAGGTATGTGGTTAAAAGCCACTTTTGGAGACAGGGGATTGGAGTAGCTTCACCGCTGAGTCTGATCACGTATGGTGGTTCCTAATTTGCAGGTAACTCAGATCTCAGTCTCTTTTATGCTTTTCCCCATTTTACAACAATCCCCTTACTGGTTTTTTAATGTGTCCCATTCGTTAGAATGCTTGAGTAGAGTAGGGCCACAAAGGCAGGAAGGACACTGGGTTCACGCCTTTGTGGATTTTCTCGTGTCTCTTGTGGTGAGAGCTGTGACTGAAGCTCTTTCCGCAGTAAGTGCATATATAGGGTTTCTCCCCTGTGTGGATACGGTGATGCTGTGTCAGGGTGGATTTGTCAGTGAAGCTTTTCCCACAGTCAGAGCATGTGTACGGCTTCTCTCCTGTGTGAATCCGCTGGTGCCTGATCAGGTTCGAGCTCACATTAAACCTTTTTCCACAGTCAGGACACTCATAGGGTTTCTCACCCGTGTGGATGCGCATGTGCTTGACCAGGTCTGAGTTCTGGCTGAAGCTCTGCCAGCACTCCGCGCACGTGTTGGGGATCTCAAAGGCTGTGCTTCTCCTCCTGGACCCTTTGGTTTCTTTGACCTTCCCAACAGTGGGGCTTTCCTGGTAGGTGCATTTAGTCTGCCTAATCCCAGGAGGGCTGTTGAGGTGTCTCCTGTGATGGGTGCTCCGGCTGAAGGTTTTCCCACAGTCGATGCATGTATAGGGTTTCTCTCCTGCATGGACATGCTGGTGCTGGGTCAGGGTTGACTTGTCCAGGAAGTTTTTCCCACAGTCAGAACAGTTATAAACTTTCTCCCCCGTGTGGGTTCTCTGATGCCTGATAAGATTCGAGCTCACGCTGAAACTCTTTCCACAGTCGAGGCACTGATAGGGCTTCTCCCCTGTGTGGATTCTCCGGTGATTAATAAGGTCTGAGCTCTGAAGAAAACTTTTACCGCACTCAATACAGATGTTTGGCCTCTCTCCCATGAACATTCGGCGGCGTACAATGGTGCCTTTGCGTTTTCTCACGCCTCCCCCACTGTGAGCAGATCTGTTCTCCTCTGGAGGGTGGTGCTGCTGTACTTCCACTATGCCAGGACTTGTAGGGGATATTTCCTGCTCAGGGCTCTCAGAAATGGTGACTATGGATCTTATCAGTGACATCTTGTGCTGCTCCTCACTCCCGGGCAGTTCTTCTGGATAGAAAAAGAATCCAGACATGAGTCATTCCCTGTGCTCGAGACAGAGTGAACCTCAGAGAGGGAAAAGTGAAATCAAATAACTGTTGATGAAGTATCTTCAAGTTTAATAAAACCATTTTACTTTCATGATCTCTAACGACACTGAATCATCTTGGACCTAACAAAACCATCATATCACCCCTCTTCCAATCGTTTCCTCTGTCCTCTACAAATGTTTCAGTAATGGTAAGCCATGACCAGTGCTTAGCAGAATATAGCTTTACTGTTCCCGTGTGCACATCCAGTTGTCCTATATTTACCCATTGTACTGTAGATTGTGTAAATTCTCAACCATCTCTTTGTTAGATATTTGTACAAGTAGCATGGCAACACAAATAATTATGTTATGAGTGACGGGTGCTTCACCCCACAGAAAAGCATCCTTTGTATTTACGAAGAGTAACATTTGAAAAATGCCTAAGTCCCACTATAAAAAGTACCTAAGGGCTAGATTGTCATTAGAACTTGGACCACTAAGCATGCCTAATGAGATTTTCAAAACTTGCTATACAGGTTCATGCCTCACTCCCATTTAAATCAATGGGGCTTAGGCTCCCGCGTGTCTTAGGTGCCTTTGAAAATTTTATCCACACTCTGGATTTTAAAAACAAACACGTATAGTTACACCCAGGCAAAGATACTATATCTTATACAAGATGATTGACACAAGGAAGTCAGTGAGAAACAGTAGGGGGTAAATTCAAACTGTAATAGCTATTTTGTAGGAAGTCCTCTGTGTATCTATATTTTAAGACTAAAATGCCTTTGTGCAGTGTAGGTTAATATAAACTGCAAAAATACATTCTTGGTGGAGAAAAAGAGTGTCCACACTGGGTTGACTCTGGAATAGTTACTGCACTTTGAATTCATTTAGAGTTTATTCTGCTATAGTTTTTCCATGAAACTAGTCCTGAGTAATTTCTTGATTTCTTTACAGTTGCTCTTATCTGTCCTGTCAGCACTGTTTCTGTCACAACCCTTACTTACTATGTCGTATGTGCATTTAGGGCCTAATTCTGCATAGTTCTAGCAGGATGCAAATTCATTTACAGCTCAGTCTTAGTTTCATAAGCAAAGCAAACTGATTCATATAGAAAGGTGTTTGCAAAGTCTAATCTTTAGATAGCCAATATTCAAAGAGGGTAGATGGGATGACCCGGATAATTACAGCACTATTAGTCCAACATTAGTCAGCTGAATAAATGATACATGGCCTACTCAACAAAACATTTAAAAGATGGTAACATAATTCAGGCCAATAAACATAGTTTTATGGAAAGTGGATTCTGCTTTACAGGCAATTGCAAGTTGGGTTAATAAAGAAAAAAAACATAAAATTATTGCTGGTAAAGTAGCACCCAAAAATTGGCAGTGCGCTAAAAATGAGAAAGACAGGTCAATAGCATAGAGTGACTGGACTGCTTAGTAAAATGGGCTCATCTGAAAATCATAGGCCAGATCCTACTCCACCAATTAGGTACTTAAGTGTCATTCTGTTCCCCCCTATTCAAATTCCTGATAAGCTGTTAATATGAAAGGGAAGAGACTCCTCCTTGCTGCTGTTACAGAAATAGATGCATTAATGGATTTTCAGGAACTTGAACAGGATGGAATAGGACCACATACATGTGTCTAATAGGTGAAGTGGGATCTGCCTCCAGATTTTAATACAATCCTAAATCAGTGGTTCTCAGACTTTCTAGACTCAAAGCACCTCTCATAAAATTTCAACTTGCAGTTTTCACTCGGGTTTTTTTTACTACAGAAAAATATTAGAACAATTCTTCTGTTGCAAAGAACTCAGAAAGACCACAACAGGTCAAAATGGTTTTAACACTATGAATTCCTATTTGAAATCTCTGGGTTATCTCCATGGCACCCTGGCTAAGGATCACTGTTTCTAGGAAAAAGTAATATAGGTTGCACTAGCAGCATGGCTGACTGTATCATGTGAAGCACTGACTCTGAAAAGGTTTTAGGGATAAAGATGGAAACCAACTAATTTTGAGTTCCTAATGTGATGCTATGGCTCAGAAAACGAATGTGAGGTTTGGCTTATGAGCAAGGGAATATAAAAGATGAATAGATAGATCCTATTATCTCTGTTTATGATGATCATAAGACTTTTACTGGAAATCAGTGTTTAATTTTGGTGGCATAGGTTTGAAAAGGATGCTGGAAAACTGAAAGGCATTCAAAGAATAGTTACAAGAATGATCCGATGCCTGGAAAATCTTCGAGAGACTTGAAGTTCAATCTGTTTACAAAAAGAAAGTTAAGTCAATTTAATGATCTTGCTGGGGTGATCAGACCCCATTGACTTCCTGCCCTCTGGGCAGGGGGCTGGACCTAACGTGATGATTTCACAAAGTCCCTTCCAGCCCTAATGTCTATGAAAACTATGTAATCTATAATGTAGATTATAGATTACCTAGACAGGGTGAAGATTTCTGATACAAGAGAGTTATTCATGCAGCAAAGACTAGAATGGTTAGAATCTACAATTAGACATACTCAAACTGCTGATATCTTAAGACACTTAGTGGCCGTGTCTACGAGACGCTGACTGCTCAGTTGTTATTGCGCAGTCATTTAGTACATGCATACACAACTACTAAATGACTGTGCAGTAACCGGAGTTACTGCGCAGTAGCAGCGCCAAACGGCTTTCAGGTGACGCTGTCTGCGTAGTAGCTCATTACTACTGCACAGTAGCGTCACATCACACCTTGTGCCATGCAACACTACTGTGCAGTCAAGTGTCTTGTGTAGACGCAGCCAGCGAGGACAATTAGTGGCAGTCCTCTTAGCAAATGGGGCGCTGGATTCTTTACTGTATCTCAGCTACAAATGATTGGTCTAGATACAAGAATACTCACTGGTTGAAGTTCTCCAACATGCTATGCAGAAAGTCAGACTAGACGCTCATAAGGATCCCTTCAGTCACAAGCTTTAATTTGGTTATTAGACGTTCCCTTCTTTCTGCAGTGTCCAGCATACTTCTGCATGCCTGAAAAGAATAATAATAATCACAAACAGCAGAATCCAGGGAGCTCTTTGGGGGCTCCCCCTAATGTTGTCCTCAAGGGCTGCACGGTCCACCAGCGGTGCAGAGAGTGAGGAGAGCCAGAGACTGGATTTTCCTCTCTTAGCTGCTTATTTACAGGCAGCTGACTCTGCCTGGGTAATAATCTACTGCAGTTGTTGAGTCTCAGCAAATGTGGGAGCTTGTATCCCCTTTCCCTGCGTACTTTTCTAGGTGCTGGTTTTAAGCCATATCTTTATGATGAAAAGAAGTTGCTTTTTCACAGCAATAAAAAAATACCAAGTGCTTGCTTTGTTGTTGTAAAATGCCCAACTGTGGACACAAGGTGAAGTGAAAGCACTTTCCACCAGGTGATGGGGTAACCAAACTGAACAGTGAGCACGTCTACATGTTCATTAATGCACTGTAGTTACTGCACATTCAGTTTTTGTATTTGGTTAACCAAGCACTAATTCAATGTAAGTCGCGCTACTGTGCACAGGGCTGGGTGGATACCTCACGCGCCCCTAGGCACACGATCTTCAGTGCTGCCTATCTACTCTGACTTTTGTTTTTTCCGAGTCAATGAGATATCAACATGTAGCGGTCACCTGTACTGTGGGCAGTCCAACAGAAAGGTTTCAAGCGTGTATTGTGGTATATAGGAACTGATGCGCTGTTTGCTGTCCCTATCTATAATACTATATATGATATATATTTGATGATTATTACTTTCATTGGTGACGCGTAGGGGGTGCACGCTGATGCACACACACCCCCTGAGCGTGGCAGTGCCGCCCTACGAAAAGGTGCCACCGACACTGTTGGCGGCGCCCGTGGGCGGTCGTTGCTTGCTGCCCCCCC